ATCTGTGATTTTCCTTATACCTGGGAAGTTTTCTGCTATTATCTCATTGAGTATGTTTTCAATGCCACTTCCTTTTCCCTCCCCTTCTGGAATACCCATGATTCAGATATTTGAGTGCTTAAGGTTGTCAGTTGTCTCTCTTAAATTCTCTTAAATTTTTTTTATTCTTTTTTCTTTTTTCTGGTCTGCCTGTAATAATTCAAACAGCCTGTCTTTGACGTCAGAAATTCTCTCTTCGGCTTGTTCAAGTCTGCTGGTTAAACTCTCTGTTGTATTTTTTATTTCGTTGAATGACTCCTTCAGCTCCACAAGCTCAGCTACATTCTTTTTCAAGGCATTGATTTCTTTGTACATTTCTTTTTTCATATCCTGTATGCTTTTTCTCATTTCATTGTGTTGTTTCACTGAGTTTTCTTGTATCTCATTTAGTTTCCTTAGAATAGTTACTCTAAATTCCTTGTCGGTCATTTCAAAGACTTCCTGTTCTATAGGATCTAGCACTTGTAAGTTATTAATTTCCTTTGGTGGTGATGTACTTTCTTGATTTTTCATATTTCTGAGTTCTTTCCTTTGGTGTTTTGTCACTGTGGCCACGGGTATCACAGTTCACTCATTTTACCCTGCTGTATGGCTTGGATCCTGAAGGGTCTGCTGCTTCTGGACAACAGAAACTAGCCTGGACTGGATGTCCTGCCCCACCTACCTTCACCAGCTGGTTGGGTGGCGTGGGAGTCCAGAGCCTCTCAGGTCACTCACAGAGATGGACAACCTGTGGCGGAAGTCCCACCCTGACTGCGATCCCCAGTTCATCTGACTTGGGGCTTAGGATCCCAGAGCCTCTCAGGTCACTCATGGAGATGGATGGCCTGAGCCAAAAGTCCCTCCCCATCAGCTTGGGAACCTGTGCTTCCCAGGTCGCTCATGGAGACAGATGGCCTGTGCGGGAAGTCCCGCCCCGGCCCACCTACCTTCTCTGGCTGGCAGGCTTGGGGTGTGTAGGCCCCAAAGCTCCAAAGCTCCAAAGTCTCTTTAGGAAATGTGGAGCAACCTGAACTGGGGTCGGGCGGCCGGCGGCTCCTGTCCATTCCAGCACAGACCTCGAGTCCTCGGTCACTGCTCCTCAAAGCTGCAAATTGGTCACTCTGTGGGAGAGAGCGACACCAGGAACCAACTACTCTGCCATCTTGACCCCTCCCCTGTTTATTGTTTTTAAAGCACCCCAGGTGACTCCAAAGTGCAGCTCTGACACTTACAGGCCTTTAAGGTGAAATTCGTGTGCGTAATAAATAGTTCCTGAATAGCCTGTCTTTGTCTTTTTTGCATAAGCTGATTTACTACCATAGTGTTAGTCTCTTCTATCTATTGTCATTTTCCCTGTGTATAAACTCATTATTTTATTAGTTACTAAATATAGGTACCTAGCATCACAAATCAAGTAATACTAGAGTTTAATTACCTTGTTCTTATAGTTGGTGTGTGTATTAGTTTCCTACTGCTACTGTAACAACCGAATGTAACCAACTTAATGCAACCAATTTAATGGCCTAAAACAACACAAATTTATTATTTTATGGTTCACATCTGCAAAGTCCCATTTGCCACATAAAGTAACATATTCATAGGTCCGGAGGATTAAGACTGGGACATTTTAAGGAGCCATTATGTTACCTACAACAGTATAAGTAAACTAACACAATGGGGTATGACCAGGGCATTAACAAACTCGGATTGTATTTTGAAGTCTATTTAGCCAGTCCTATTGGTCTAAACACTGGTCAGTAATGCACATTCCCAGCAGTATAGATCACAAAAACCACTCTTCTCACCATGTCACATATGACTTATAAGAACTTAAAACCACCATTTGTCTCATTCAGTTTCAATGCATGTGTTCAAATAAAATGCCCCAAGATACAAGTTTCTTCCTAAGAAGTAGCTACCAATTTGGGCACACATATTTTAGCATCTTTGCCAATTTCAGTTGTTTGAATGACATAAGAATATAATCACATGTAATAACAGTCTGTATTTCCCTATTATGTTAGGATGCTGGTTTTATGATTTTCCAGGCCCCTACACTTGTGGTATGGTACAACACATAGTTTTCGTCTGTTCTCCCTTTACTCATCATTCCTTCAACAGATAACGTGTTGTGTCTGTGTACAGTTGTGAGGGCTGTAGCATGGTGGCTGCTCTTCAGGAACCCCTCAGACAGAGGTTTAGAGCCTCACAGTCTTTCTAAGTTTACTCAGAAGGAAGCAGTATATTTAGGTGGCAACATGCTTAGTGTATCCAGAACATAAGTCAGATATTAATGCTACTTTTGCATATTTCTTTTTTTTTTTTTCCGTGTCCGGCAATGGATCGCAACCCTCAGTGTCGCCCCCATACCGGACCGGGACCGGCAACAGGATCGCAACCCTCGGTGTTGCTCCCGCGCCTCGCTCAGCCAGTGAGCGGGAACCGGTCTGCATGTGGGATCCGAACCCTCGGCGGGAGCGCCGCCACGCTTCCCAAGCGGTGCACTATAGCAGTGCGCCACCGGGCCGGCCCTTGCATATTTCAATTACCAACATTTCATATTTTGTCTTTCTCCCTTTTTATGTTTGGAGACATCTCAGCAAATTCATCCATTGCAGACTATTGTTTTGTAATCCCATTCTTTTATTTCCTGTTTCATGCATTTTATTGAGAATGAAAACCAAATACTTTTTAATATTTAATTCTGCTTTTTGTTATTGTATTTTTCAAAGATATTGTTTACCTTTGCATCATGAGTTCAGTGGTTTCTTGTATTATGTTCCAGAATTCTAAGCTTCTTTTTTTTCAATTTTATTTATATTTATTTTTGTAGGGTACAGTGTGTTGTTTCATTACATGAATATACTGCCCAATAATTCACTTAGGCTAGATAGCATAGTTTTGTACCCGTTAGTTCATCCCTTCCCAATCTTACCCACCTCCCCTCCCAGCCTCTAGTAACCATTATTCTACTCTCTACTTCTATGAGAATCACTGGTAATTTTTTTTTAATTCCTCATATGCTGAATTACTTCTGTTTTCTCTTCCTTGAATGATTAAAAGTTCATACAGACTTGGAGTTTATCATGCATAGGATCGATAACTTTCACTTTGTCCTCCTATTCTAATAACTAGAAATTATTAGAATTCCCCTCTCATTTCTGAAGCTACTAATATTTGGTGTCTATCTGGTACAGTCCTGAATCGAGGGAAAATGTATTCCTTCTCTAGCCTACTGGGTGTTTTTAATATGATTCGTTGGAATAGATAGGGCAAAATAATGTTTTTCAGAGTTTGGAAATGTCTGCATTATGTGAATTATTAATAATGTCAACTTAAGCAGTGCTTGTATTTGTATTTGAACCTTTTTGGTACACTGTTCTATCTGGAAAGGGCCATAATAAGTAGTCTATTCTGCTATCTGGTGGACTATGAATATTTGAGCCAAACAAAATCTTCTGATATAACAACTAACTTCCTTTTCTTTTTCTTTCTTTCTTTACATTTTATAAAGCATAGCCTACTCTCACTTTTTATATAATGACTTCCAAGGATGCGGGGGGGCAAATACAAATGCTAACAAGATGTTTTCCTATTCAGATAAATCTTCCAGTGTCTCAGTCTTTAGACTAAATAAAATCATGGTCCTACATCAAGCTATTAGACATGATCATTAATAGTACTAAAGGAATCATATTAATAGGTTTTTTTAAAAGATACTCACAATTTAATCAATTTCTTTCAGAACACTAATGTTGCAGAGTTGTAGCTGCCTCCTGAGGGGCAGTGATGGAAACAATAAAGATTTCAAGGTGAAATGGACGCATGAATACGTCCAGGGGGTAGAGGCCATCCTGTGCTGCTGAGCCTTTGAGACCTGTACATCCATTTGAAAACCTGGAAGTAATGCATATTTTTATGGTTGTGGATATATCCATGCAAATATCTCTATGTATTTCTATAGTCATGCCTAGAGAGATATGACTAAATCCATGCCTATAGAGACATGCCTGTAGAGATAGGTTTCATTTACCTATGAAATAATTCCCGCATGTTTAGAAGTAATGTGCTTTATTAGTTGTAAGAGAACTCTCTTTTAATCCATCTTGAGCAATGTGAGCAGTGACAAAAAGAATCTAGCAATGTAAGGAGAAAAAAAAAAAGTGATGTTAATGGGACAAAAACAATTTTCAAAAATATAGAAATCATATGCTCAAGACTTTGGAATTGGCAGAAGAACAACAGCTAAGAAGGCCACATCTTGACTGAAGAGAGTGTAAGGGGGAGTGTACAGTGATTTCTCTGCAGTTTGATTTCTCCGAGTTGAGGAATTCAATGGCAAGTCCTGAGTGGCTTGCATTGGATGGGGATACTTGAAGTTCTGGGGTTACAGCAAATTCGTGGGTGCAATCTCAGAGGAAAGACTTTTTATTATCATTTTTATTTGCCCTTACACTTTGTTTGTAGCACCCCAATTGTTGGGGAAACTAGGAAGGCAGGGCTTCCGAGGCTGGCATTGGTACAGTGCTCAGCAGAATAGAAACATTACCCAGGACATGAATAGATGGTGAAAGACTTATTTTTCCTTTGGCTCAAATTTTAGTTTAAAAGTGTGGAGATACCATTTAAAGAAGATGGAGAAATAAGCTGAGGGCTCCTTAGACAGATCACAAGAAATAAATAGCATGGTTATGAAATAGGTATGTCGTTATGGCAATACGCAAATCACCTCAGGAGCAGGAATCCACATTCAAACAATATTTACCTGCATCCAGATGTGATAACAAACCAGCAAGCAAAGCATAAACAAATCCTGTAGATAGGAAAATGGTAAATTCAAAAATGAGCTGGGGAAAATTTGCAGAGGGAGGTGATTTTTTTGCACCAGATGGTGGTGGGACTAGAAACCTGTCTCCCTACCTGGAAATTGGTGAAGCAATTCTGAGTCTTTGCCCAGGAAGATCCTTTGGAGTACAAGGATGATACCCACCCAGCTCTTCTTCATGATCATCTATGTGCTCGAGTCTGTAATGATACTGGTGCAGAGTAGCTTAATTGTTGCAGTGCTGGGCAGAGAGTGGGTGCAGGTCAAACGGTTGTTACCTGTGGACATGATTCTCACCAGCCTGGGCATCAGCCATTTCTGTCGGCAGTGGGCATCAATTCTGTTCAATTTTTGCTTCTATTTTAACCCTAATCATTTATTTTGGTACTTATCACTCACCTGGGAATTTTTTAATATTTTTATCTTCTGGCTAACCAGCCTGCTTGCTGTCTTCTACTGTGTCAAGGTCTGTTCCTTCACCCACCCCATCTTCCTCTGGTTCAGGTGGAGAATTTTGAAGCTGGTTCCCTGGCTGTTACTGGGTTCTCTGATGATTTCTTGTCTGACAATCATACCTTCAATAATTATGAATCACACCCAGGTTCAGTTCATCAACATGGTGCATTTACCCGGAAACAGCACTATGACTGAGAGACTTAGGATGTTTCAGAAGCATATGCTCACACTTTATCGAATACTTGCATTGGGTTTTCCCTTCCTCCTGTTCCTGGCTTCCACCATCTTGCTCATGGCCTCACTGGCCCAGCATTTGGCACAGATGAAACACCATAGTACTGGCCACTGCAACTCCAGCACAAAAGCTCATTTCACTGCTGCGAGATTACTTGCCATGTCATTTATCATCTTCACCTCTCACTTTTTTACCGTACTTGCCTCCTTAATAGACAATGCATTTGATAGGAGACCTTGGTACTGGATTTGGGAAGCCTTCATCTACGGCATAGTCTCTATTCATTCCACTTCACTGATGCTGAGAAGCCCTACGTTGAAAAAGGTTCTAAAGGTAAAGTGCTGGGTCCTAGAAGCTGCCTGAGGCACAGGGTATAATAAGACCCCTGGGCAAATGGGAGTTTGCATTGACACAACTACTACTAATAGCAGCACTGCTCCTATCAGTCCCCTCTGTGACAGTGGAACACCATGAACCCCCATCTCATTCTCTTTCATCCCCACAGCCTCTATCTCTAAACAATCAATGCTTTCTCTATTCTGTCCCAATCCTTTCCCTTCCACAATCCTCAGGTTGGTCTAAACTGTCTCATGACTGCCCCATCTCTCCTTAGTCCTCACCATCTTTGGAATCTCACTCCCACTGTATTCTACACAAGACAGTCAAAAGCATGGTATGCACACATTATTTTATCCATCTCATGACTGGCAATTACTTTGCACATTAATATGAATCCTTTTTCCACGAGAATTTATTGCCCATACTCTGAGTGCACCTCATGCAAAGCCCTCGATTTACTTTTCTTTATTTTTTTTCTTTCTTTCTTTCTTTTTTTTTGTCTTTTTCATGATACTATTCCAGAAGGGGATCGCAACCCTTGGTGCGGTGTCGCCCACACCGCGCTCAGCCAATGAGCGCACCGGCCATTCCTATATAGGATCCAAACCCGCGGCGGGAGCATCGCACTCTTCGAAGTGCGCCACAGGGTTGGCCCTCGATTTACTTTTCTAACTTTAATCAAGGAAAGATCTTCCCCTCTCTTTGTCTTTCTCTCTCTTGCTCTTGCTCTCCCTGCTGCTTCTGAACCTTTATCCAGTGACACAAATTTCCTTATTTGCCTCTCTTCCAAATACTTTGCCTTCATTCCTTTAAAGCTCAGATCAAAATTTAACTCTCCTTTCATTTCCATTTGCCAAAACATATTCTTCCCCAGAATAGTGGGCCACTTACCCAGTCTAGGTTCATTCCTTAATACCTGTCCAAACATTGGTGACTTAATTATGTCCACCATATAAGGTTTTATTGGCTCGAATCTTGCCTTTCTATTTACTATAAGTTGGAGTGAACTTTCTAGGAAGATTACTGTATTAAGGCATAGCTGGTTTTCTCCCATATATAACCCAGATGTCAGCTGAGACCCCCCATATTTTATGACATCTGAGGGACACTGGCCTAAATTTTCTGTATTCTTTGTGCTCTGTGGCAGTCCAAAGCCCTCCCCAAATGGATAAGAATACAGAAACCATACAGTAATCAATTAAAATCACCTATAAGACATTCCTGTTTTTTAAAAGTCGTTTCTGCCTCCCCAGTTCAACATGTTTCTCTCATGCCCTTTTCCCTTGCAGGGTCCCATTTTGCCCACTCCTTATGGCATCTCTCTCCTCATTTCTCTCTTCTTCACCTTCACCCAGGACCAACCAAGTGTCTTGGTAATGGCCCACTCCCAGGCCTTTGGGTCTCAGATTCCACCTGCCCCAGGCACTCATCAAGGTATTTTTTTCCAGAAAACAGTTACATCTCTTACAGCATTCTGGTGCCAGGTGTTAAGAATATAATTTTTTCCACCCTGTATATATACACTTGGCATGTCTGGTGAACCAAACTTCCAGCTCTGCCATTAAAAGACTGAAACATCTCCTGAAAGGAAACCATCCTACAGAAAAAAAAAATGATGCAGGTATCTCAAGTTTTACTGTAAAAAAAAAAAAAAAGACAGTCCCTGGAAGGCAATGGAAATTCTGATCTGGTCTTGGATCTATCATTCTGATTTGGCTTGGAGTTGAATTCATATTTGAAAATGAGGGTGTGAAATGTAAGTGAAAACTGAAAGACCACTTTCACCAAAAACTCTGTGGTATTTGGTAAATGCCAACAGCATTCCTTCTGTTGCACAGAAAGGGTGCAAAAGCATAGTGTCCCACTGCAGAGCAGCACTCGGGCAGCCTTGAGACTTCCTGAGTGACAGTGGTTAAACTGCAGTAGGAGGTGTGACAGAACCTGGTGGGCAACCATTGAAGTGGAACTGAGCAGGAAAAAAGGAAAAGAAAAGGTAGGTACTGACATTGTGTTATCTGACCAGAGACGGCCAGAAATGCTTAGCGGACAGGTAGGAAAGTATGTTGCAAGGGTTTGGGATCCTGCTGGAATAGATTGGACAAGGAATTTGGATTATTTGTCATTTGTATCCACACCCAGATGAGGTCCTGCATGTTCTAAAATCTCAGATAGCTGGAAAAAATAGAAACAGTTCCCTTCATAAATAGAAAACAGGAAAAAAAGACATTCTCCCCCCCCCACCCCCACACACCACTATCACATATACAGACACTATTCCAGAAGCTGTGAAATATTTTTAGTACTCTCACTGTCTTCTCTTATGTAAAGTTCAATGGCAAACTTATCCAAGATACACATGAAGTGAGGGTGTTAGAAGCAGTTGATAGTTGATTTTTTTCAGAAATCAGAAAAAAAAAAGAAACAAATAATAATTACCCTTTCTATTGTGGTGTCTAATACTTCACAAGGATATTTTACATATATTTTCTCATTTGGAACTAAAAAAACAGGTCAAGACCACCCAACCCAAACTAACTAGAAAACAGACCTAAGAAGGTTGAGTGATTTACCTAAATTCACACTGCTGCTTAATGCCAAACCTAAGGCCAATGGAAAAGGAGCAGAAACTAAGGGCTAAATTTTAAAGGAGCAAAGAATTTTAACTGGAAAATATAGTGGGGATTTGGACAGGAGGTACTTTAGAAATAATAACAGAGAGGTTGTGACCAAGAACAATGAAATTTTTTTGAGAACTTTAGTTAGCTAGATATGGAAGTAGGGACTAATGCACCTGTGTTGTCCAACTTGTAAATACTCCACCCTATATAATGTTCATTATCCCTCACATAAAGTGTGTTGCCTGATAACTCATAACAAGCAGAAAGCAGAAGATTAAGAAAGCTGTATCCCTGGGGTTTAGGAGCAAATGTTTAGAAGCCCACAGGTGGTAGCAGTGGATTTAACAGGAGCCCCATGAGTGCTGCCACCCGGCACCTGTATACACACACACCATTAGCAACTGGAAAGTAGACCTTCCATCCTTCATGAAATATTCCATGAACCTAATTAATGCCTTGTGATGCAGAGGAGACTGGCAACAATGGTGAATTCCTGATAGTACCTGGCATGAAACCTATTCCTAACTAGATATACTGTAGAATTGACTCACTGGATATTTTCTCTACCCCATGTCCATTCCTACTGTGCAGGATACATGGATTCAAAAACTTCAGTTGCACCTTTTTTGCCTATTTCTGAGCCTAGTATTCAAGACTTTCCAAAACCTGCCTCTAAACCACCTGTGCAGCCTTAAGCCCCCAATAATCTCCAACCCAAGTGTTTGTACCAGACATATCTCCTCATTCTCTCCTGAATATCCATGCATAGGATATTTGCATTTGTACTGGACATACGTATGCATAGGATTAATGCTCCTCACATTTGCTAATGCCAATTACCTTTCTTTTTCTGTATTCCCTCATTATGACCATTGCTTAATTTCTATCCTCTCTTTATGACCTAGTACCAGCCCAGCTGCACACACAAATGTCACACTGACTCTTGCCCACCAAGGTCACTCTCCATTCTATTACATCTGCTGTCTCTAGCACTTACTTGGCACCAAATGTAAGCTATGGCCCATCACTAAATTTCTTCCTTTTACTTCTGCCTTTGTAATACAGTTTTCTACATACGAGAAATTCAGTTACTGTTAAGTGATGACAATGATGACAAACGGATGACAAATTCTGGAATCTGGAATTGCAAGAGATCCCATCCATTCGGTAAATATTGACTGTCAACCTACTGTGTACTACTGGAAATACAAAGATGAGATGGCAGCTTGATCAAGATGTGTTCCTCCTGACAAATGAGGTCCCCTTCCTGAGAGTCCCAAATATGGGTCATTTTATACATGGTGGGTCTATTCTGGCTCCAAGAAGACCTAAGTAGAAAGAAGCTATGAGCATTCCACAGTGGGACAAGAGCTCAGAGGAGTTTAGCAGATAAACGCCTCCCCCTTACCAAGCACTAATGAACTACAGAAATCTTCTCTGGTTTCTAAAGAACAGGAAACAACCTGCATTCGGTCTCCTTCTCCAACAGAGGGCAACGATGGCCAAGTCACAACAGCACCAGTCAAACAAGAAATTAGTCTTTTGTAAAAACGTTTTCCTACCCTCCTTAACTTGATGGTCCTATAAAAACAAGAAGAAGGGAGAGGACGTGATAGGGGAGTGAAAGAATTGACCTCCATTTTCTTCCCCAACCTCGATATCAGGCCTAAGATAGGTGAAGAGAAGAAGCTTTGACTTGAATATGAGATTAATGTTTTGATTTAGACTCTTTAAAACCGGGAAATTAGAACGTTCTTAGATACCTATGGAGTCTATAATGCCATCAAGGGATGGGAAATGGTGCTCTCAGGAATATGTTTGAAGGCAGAGGTTGGAGAAAAATCTGTTCCTCCTGAACTCAGCCTATTCAACAAATTTGTTACATAAGACATAAGTCAGTAAGATTTGAACAGCCTGTAAATTTTCTCTGTGATTGTCAGGTATTGTACATCACATTTCACTTATAAAAGACCCTAAGATAACATCCCTTCTCAGGAAGAGATAAACCAAAGGCCAAGGGAAAGGTCCACCTCTGATGATCCTTAGTATTCTTGCCACCACGACCATCGGGACTCTCCCCACCTGAATCCAGGTAGAACAACATCAAATTCTGGGCTCAGTCACAATTCCTTTCTGTACCTGGAAACTCTGGATGCAGAGTTCCGCTTTCCTTCCATTCTGGTATTTGCATTTCTATTTTGTTAATGGTGTTTGTCCTTATTGTTCTCATATTTCTACTGTAAATTATGGTAAGTTTATTTTTTTTTTCAAAATTGGTCTTGCTGTTTTGAAAAAGGAGAAAAAAGAACAAAAGAAGAGAAAGAAAAACTGTGAAGGATAATGGTATGAGTAGCATTGTAACAATAAATACTGATGACATAACTGCACCAATTGCAAACCAATTTT